GTGGAACCGACCTTCGAATCTCTTCACCCAACACTTCCACTCAAAATGGAAGTAAGCTCAACAATTATGAGACAAGAGATTCCTCGAAACCCAACTTGTCTTCGAATAAGTTTGCCTCGCCTAATGCCAACTAGATTTTTATGGACAAATCAGACCCAAGAGAGGATTTTCCTAAAATCGGGTCGTCACAATCGGGCAGATGTTCACCTGGCAGAAGGTGCACCGAATGCATTTTGCCCGCGAGCTGTTGTACCGAGCTGGCACAAAACTGCCAAAACATCCCCAGCCGCATTGGTGCATAACATCGAAAGCAAAGTGATCCGGCAGTCTGGGCGGCAGGATCTCGTCTAAAAACGACTTGACCAGACGCTCCGCTTCCCGTCGTGTGATGGTACCGCAGCGTCGTGATGAGGCCGGCATGGCGCCGGCCCGCCGTAGCACCTCGAGTTGTGCGGGTGTGCACTGGGCGCACGTGATGCCAAGGGCGACACGGCGGTTGTGGATCTCGTTGTAGGAGAAGTCGCGAAGCAGAGTGGCCGAGATCTGGGCCAGACAGAGACGATCCTGGCCGTCCATCCGGAGACAGACGAGGCGTTGTCCGTGAAGGTGGACCTCCGTCAATCCGTTGTCCTCGGCCGACACGACGGCGCCACGTCGGCCGCCGCCGACCGTCGTAGGAGTCGCCAGCACCTCGGTATCCCCTAGCAACCGGCCACCGGTCGACTGGTCGTCGCCGCCCACCCTCTGGCTCTCGAGACCGACGGCTTCGCCGTTCGACGCGTCGGGACTGTCGACTGGCCGGGCGCCCGGCTCGAGAGAGGACGTGGGTGCTGATGCGGTACCGGACAACGGCGAGACGGCCGAGGCGGGATGCAGCGAAAAAGCGAAGCAGGGCGACGTCAAGGGCGAGTAGGTCGACGACGAGGATGAGGCCGGCTCCAACAGAGTCGCACGTCGTCCTGGCGCCCAGCAGTCCGATCCACCCAGAACGGGCAAATGGTCGTCGGGCTGGCCGGACGTTGTGTGATTGGGCGGCAGACCCGACGACACGATTTGGTCCCACACAGGCTTGGGCGACCGGAGCTGGGACAGACAAATCGGCGGGCAGATGGACGGGCCGGCGGAAGACGGAAATAGGCCGGTCGAGATGCCCGAACCGACGGAGGTCTGTGCGGCAGAAACGTCTTGAACTCGACCGAGGAAGGACGTCAGATTGGAGGGCGGACAGTGCAAAGCCGGCTTGAGGAAACTTGGATCTGAGGCTACAAGAGAAGCAATACGCAAGCAATGCTTAAGACGGGTTTTTCAAACTAAATACTCTATCAAAAGAGGCTAATAAGTAGGCTTTCAAGAGTACCAATAGATCATTTTTTCCCCCACATGATCCCTCTCTATCCCTAAAACACTACAATCTTGACTTGAGAGCTGAATTTTACCCATCAAAATGACATAATGTTCCATAAGTCATTCTTTCTCCGACACAGTCTCTGAGACGACAAAACGGGAGATGGAGATGGAAATAATCCCAAGAGTCTTGACACTTCAATAGCCAACACACATGATTATATTAGTATGGACATACAGGACCCTACAAACGAATGAGCAATTAGTCCGGTAGGCAAATTGAATAGGAAAAGATACATTTAGTACACTGCGAGAAAAGTCCTCGTATCGCGTACTAAAGAAGGACCCAACTATGAAGATTAGTGGAGCCCTACGTATGAATAGGAATGGCGAAATCGACGGATGGATGATAAATTGACTAACAAGAAAGGATGCACGTCCATCAACAGCCTATGGAGTACAGAAGATACGCAAAGAAGGGGAACAGCTGAGGTTGTTAGTTAGCAGCAAAGATTGCTTATTTGAAAGACACTAGCTAAACGACAGGGCATCAAGCAGAGAGGCTGAGGAGGAAGTCGTTAACATGACCAATCAACTTGACAACAAGGACTACCCACTTCATACCCAACGGCAACATCTATGGACTTTATATGGAGTTACCACTCCCAACTCTTTTGGCAAACGTATGAATATGCGAAGAAAAGTTGGGCTTCGAGGAATCTCTTGTTTCATAATTGTTGAGCTTACTTCCATTTCAAATAAAAGTGTTTGGTGAAGAGATTCGAAGGTCGATGGCGGATTCCTATTAACCAGCTGTCGATTGGCTTTACTGGACCATTTTTGTTGACGTGTTTTCCGAGGTAATCTCCTCCTCTTCCGGTGAAAAGATGCTAAGCTTTCGTCCGTCTTATGACGAACATCTTAAGGGCAAAATATCATCATCACAACAAAATTCTAGCTAACGAATATTTTTTTGACAAATCATCATTACGTGATCAATAGAAGAAATCCCTTTCAAACAATTCACAAATAACTTTAGGATAGAAATTAAGACCAAGATTGTGTGGTCTCCTTTCGTCGTATAGTCGATCCTTTAACCGCTTGTCCGCAAACAGTTGTGGTATCCTCTTTACATGTTTAGCAGATAATTAGTCAAAGGATCGGCTTCCCTTGTCTCTTTGGTCGAGTTGTAGTGCGTGGCTAAAAATGGCATTGCTCACTGACGATGCCGACTACGTTGCCGGCGAAACGTCTGGGGATGTACCCAGGTCCACGGTCCGATTCTGCAAATTATAATTCATACTATGAACTACGGACAAGGTGCGTTCTTCTGAGTCTCCCTGCCAATATGACCAAGTTGCGAAAGCAAGATCAAACAACTTTTAGGCTATTTAGTTGTCAGGCGTTTTTTATTGAACTATTGTGGCATGATTCTCCATTTCGAAGGGGAAGTTGGTTAAAAGCAATTTGTGCTGTGGTCGCACAGGAAACCGAAGCAGGATTACCACATAAGGAAGACGGTTGAATTGTGCGAAGAAGCCCTCAGCTCACCGTCCTGCAACCCCGAGGAAACTGTACTGAATTTTTTTCTGTACCGTGACAGACATCATCAGGGCAGGTATCCATACTTCACGAAATAGAGCAAAAATATAATAAACCAAGAAAAAAGACAAAAGTTGGCCGGCTAAAATCCTGGTAGAAGTGGGTTGACCTCATTGTCGCAACTTGGTCTTGTTTTCAGGGAGAACATGTAGAACGCACCTAGTCCGAAGTCGTCTGCCAC